TATATTCAACGAGTAATAAACACTCGGGTTCAGACAAACAATTCAGTGATTGATATTACGAGTGATGATTGACACAGGGTTAGAAACTAACACTTTTTGTCCACTAGTCCTTATAATGATAACATATAGCAAAACCCTTAAAATGGACCAATTTCTACTAGTCCTTAGGATACCTTTACTATTGGGCAGTTTGGTAAGGACTACAGGACTAGTGCCAATTTCTAACGCTGTTGACACCACCAGGGAATGTTCACAGCGACACGCCACCAACCAAGGCTGGCCATCCAATTCATTCAGTCGCCTGTTACATCCATGATGGGTGAGGTGAGGTGAAATTGGGTTTAACGTCGCGTCCAAGATTATTGCACTTATATAGCGACGTGCATGCACGTGTATGTGTGTGTGTGCCTGCTTGTACTAGTCCGGACTGATGCCGATTTATAGTGCTAGCTCACTGAGATACCATGCCGCAGTTTAACATGAATACCCCACTCAGACACAGTATACTGACTCCGAGCCGACCAGTCCTTGTTTTAGCCCCTTAATGCCGAGCGCCAGACAGTGTAACAACAAGTACAATCTTTTAACGTCTTTTAGTATGACGCGGCCCGGGATCGAACCCTGGACCTTCCGCTCTCCGGGCGGACGCTCTACCACAAGACCACGGAGGACATCCATGATGGGTTGCCAGGGACCTATTGTAACCCAGGGCCCCTACTTTTCTGTATCACAGTGCATAATTTGCACTGCATTGATTTCTTCAGGTTTGATATGGCTGGGCCAGCAAGACAGGGTACAATTACATTCTGTTTTACCACCTGCACCAGGTGCAACCAAGTAAATTAATCAAGTTGCACCACCAAAATATTGGCTGCACCATTTTATCATCAATTGAAAGACTATTTTCAGTTATTTTGAATATTAAACAAATTCAAAAAGAAAAAAAACTTGAGCATGTTGAGGATGTGTTCCAGTTTTTGTTATTTTGGGGAAATCTGTATATCAGTATATAGCTTTTTACATTTTGATATCCAGTAAACAACCTTAAACATAAGTTTCAAAGTGTCTGTTTGTTGTGATAGTAACCGCACGAGTGACTGTTCTAGTGGTAATTGTGAAGAATTAGTTCTGCAAGTTCAATGCAGTCAGACCTCATGTGTACTTCACTATTTTCATGAAGATTTGAAGTCAGCATGGTCAGTTCTAAAAGAATTCAGTTTTCCACTTTTATGAAACATAAATGTTACCCACGCTGGGTGCAAGCTGGCCATAAAAGTGACCTGCACTGGTGCAGCTTGGATATAGGAAGAGGCAAGAGGATGTTGCTGTGAACCAGTTTGTGGTCGGTTAACGTGCACGGCTGGTTAAATTTGGCAGCGACCCAAGCATGCCAAGTACTACAGCTGATCCCTTGGTCTGATATCAATGGTATTATACAATCTTACCTGGCTTTTGTTTCAGGACAATAAGTAAGGTAACACTAGCTGAGTAGTTATCAGGCCCAGTTATTTCACAATTATGTCAACATTACTACCGTATTCGACGTAATAAGCGCCCTGCCCACGACGATATTTGCTAATATATTGGCTAGTGAACAATCTCAATTAGCACCCCTTCCGATTGATCAATGTACACAAGACTTATTTATTCATGTATAATACGCACTCGTGTGTTATATGCACCCTTAATTATGGGACATTAAATCCTGGAAAAATATATCTGTCGTATATAAACATTTCAGGCTGTCAGCATAAACCACGAAATTTACGATCTTGCAACTCTGTTTTTTTTCACCAAAATAATATTCTAATAAGAGCCCCCTATTTCTAATTTTGAGAGCGCCCTGGGCACTTATTACGTCGAATACAGTATTTGAAATGGGATACAGAATTAAAACATGAACCAACACACGAATAGGCATATCGTATTGTCAGGATTAAATCCACAATGTATTGATACAGTCAAGTCTTGTTAATCCGACATCGTTGGTTGCACATGATTGTGTTGGATTAACGAGTATGTCGGATAAACGAAATTAAGTGATTTGTGATCGAAAATCGGACGTCTTCACGAAAGATGATAACCGTGTGTACCTTGTAATAAAATCATTAAAAACGAAATATTAATATTGTTATGTTGTTTATTCATTCATTCCTTATTTTATAATTAATGACTTTGCAAAAATAATAATAATTTTCCCATTTATACATAACAATAGAGACATTACTCACTGAATTTATCACATGATCAACGACACACGTTTCCTCGTGTAAATGCAAGTGCTACTGTCTTTCTTGTTTACATACCAGTCGACCATGGTGAGTCGACTATGTTTTATATACCTGTTCGTATTTTAAACTGGCTTCATGCACATTTATCTGGCTTCAATTTGTAAACTACATTTGTATAGCTTTGTACATACAGGTTTGAATAGCTTTTCCTGTTAATTGTTAAGTTAATCTCTGCAGCCAGTGCGTGTCAAAACACGGGGTTGTGTACTCGCGGTCAGATGACCACGGAGTACGCTGATCACTGTGTCGGATTAACGAGACTGATTAATTAGTGATTTCGGCAATTCGTTGCAAATTAGGTGTGTCGGAGTCGGAGTGCGAGAATGTCGGATTAACGGGGCTAAATAGCACTGAATCAATCGGTTCCCATCATTTGTGTCGGATAAAGCCGAGTGTCGGATTAACGAGACTTGACTGTACATCAATGGCAAGTGACATTCAAGTAGGCATTAACAATAAACTTAAAGTTTCTTTGATATTATGTAAAGATTGTTAGTTGTTTAACGCCGCACTCGCCAATATTCCAGCTATATGATGACGGTCTGTAAATAAATGAGTCTGGACCACACAATACAGTGATTGACATCATGAGCATTGATCTACGCAATTGGGATACGATGACATGCATCAACAAAGTCAACGAGTCTGACCCTCTGATCCTGTTAGTCGCCCTTTACGACAAGCATAGGTTGCCGAAGACCGATTCTAACAAGGACCTTCATGGGTATATGACAGTCAGTGATTATCCAGCTTCATCACTGCGGCCTCTTAACAACCAAATTGGAGTCTGACAAACCAGTGGTTGAAGTGATGAACAGTGCTTGCATTGGGATCTATGGAAATGGGGTCCTACTGGACACAGTAGCTGCTAGCTCTGAAGATGTGAAGCGTCCTACAAGGTTTGGGGGCATACCGTCCCAAGAAGGCTCAGTTATAAACGAACAAGTCCTTTGAATTTTGCTTATGTTCTTGGAACTGTATTGAATTTTCTGTTATATTTTATGTTCTACCAGTTGGAGATATCATTATTTAGCTGTACATACATTGTATGTCATTATCATGTATACAACTGAAACAACAATTACCGTATTCGACGTAATAAGCGCCCAGGGCGCTCTCAAAATTAGAAATATAGGGCTCTTATTAGAATATTATTTTGGTGAAAAAAACAGAGTTGAAAGATAAATTTTGTGGTTCGCTGACAGCCTGAAATATTTATATGCGACAGATATATTATTCCAGAATTTAATTGCCCATAATTGAGGGTGCATATTACACACGAGTGCGTATTATACACGAATAAATAGGTCTTGTGTACATTGATCAATCGGTAGTGGTGCTAATTTGGATTGTTCACTAGCCAATATATTAGCAAATATCGCCAGGGGCGCTTATTACGTCGAATAAGGTAATTGTATTATTAAACAGTTACAGTTGGCTCCAGCGATCTACTGGTGCTTTCGTCTTTAAAACTTGTATACTTCATTCTGAAATTGCTTTATCTTTTAAATCCACCAACTTAATACGATTTCTTCCAAAATACACATGAAAACACCTTCCTGAGCATGTTAACTGGTAAATTCCTTCGAAATTACTGTAACTTCCTATATTTGGTGTTTAATCTCATTCTTCCCGTTCAAACGTTTGGCATCATGACACCATTCATGCCGGATTCAAATCATTATTAAATATATATTCCGATATTCTAGCTGCATCCACCATGTCCATATCATGAGTATGTAAGTATAAAATATTTTTAACCCCTCAAAGATTTATCTTCATCATAATACATTTCTCAATGACAGGTACATCGTCATGGTCATGAACATGATGAATATGGTTTTAAAATTAGGTATGATCATATTTCACTTCCTGAGGAAAAACCTGCCAAGTCCGTAAACAACCAATGGGATCATTTGAGAACCAAGAAGCAAGTCTTTCCTAATAATTTTAAAGTAAACAAAGTTCCTTGAAATATTCTTGTGTGTGTATTATTGTGTCATATCTAACTATGCCATGCACTCATAGATTGGTGCATCATTAGTCATACCATTCCCACTACTGATAAAACAAACATTTCTCTTCTCTGCAAAAGATGTTATTCATCTTAAACATGTCTTATAAGTACAATTCCATGAATCCAAACTGGACATTCACACAGGGATTTTAGATCCTTTTTATGTATTATGGGCCTAATCACAGAAATTCTTGACAAACACATAAAATTCTGTCACTTCTGCCCTGATATTATTGTGTATCATCTACAATTCTATTGTCCATAAAGGAATGTGGTAATTTTACAAGTAAGAGGCACGACAGACTCCTTCACTTTTATTTTAGATTGTGCAAAGTAATAAAATGTATTTATAAACACCTTTGAACATGAAATTGACATGTGGAATCTAGCATGTGAAATCGTGATTGCTGGTATGTTGTAATGTCTGCTAAACACACATTGAGACATTTCTTTTAACGCCACGAAACATTTCTGAGAATGTAGAGAATTCTTGGCATTAGCCTTCTGGCAAGATCTGAACATGCGACTATCATTCCATCATTAGATCCATGGTTCACAATCAATACGATGACATTGACAATGAATATTCTTGCGACACACCTACTAAAAACTTTGCATCCGGAGTACTTATTACTCCCGTAAAAAGATATAAACTTCAGTTGACATCATCTCCATGCATGTTAGTATCTTACCAGGCCCTGTGGTGGTTGTTTCACTCATTTCTTGTCGTTCACTACGAGCGAAATTGGTTTCAGAATGGCTAACTTCAGCAGCAGTCGCCATTTTCTTGGTCCGATCATCACAGTCAGTCCGCCCAAAATGGGCGTCACTGTTCTTAGTCTTGCATCACAGACAATTGATGAAATATTTCAGCTACGAAGACATCTACCGAGTACTTCCGATATCCCAATTAACAACAATTATGAGTAATTAGCAATCAATTCGGTGCCTTTTTTCGTGTTGTACGACAGTCTTAGCAGACACGGGGCATTGCGCATGCGTTGAAGCATATGCTATTACAAACACAACTCATTACATGTGTTGGCAACGACTCGTCTGCTAGTGGTGATTCATCCGATCATCCGACATCGAATGTAGAATGACAAATAGTTTTCAATTCATTCAACAATTAAAGTTTAACCATGATGTAATGCCAAAATATTATGTTTTATTATTCTATTCGGAATATGCAAAGCACATATGTGCGACTGATCAAAACAAACGTCTGAGAGACACAGCAATAAATATTCGGGGATCACGTGTGTGTGTGTGTGTGTGTGTGTGTGTGTGTGTGTGTGTGTGTGTGTGTGTGTGTGTGTGTGTGTGTGTGTGTTTTGTGTGTCTTGTGTGTGTGTGTCTTGTGTGTGTGTGTCTTGTGTGTGTGTGCCCGCCCCTATATAACACAGCACTCCGCCCCCATATGACACAGCAGTCTGCCCTATATACGATACAACAGTCCGCCCCTGTATGACACTACAGTCCTCCCCTGTATGACACAGCAGTCCGCCCCTAGATTACAAAGCAGTCCGCCCCTAAATAACACAGCAGTCCGCCCCTATATGACACAACAGTCCGCCCCGAAATAACACAACAGTCTGCCCTATATGACCCAGCAGTCCGCCCCTGTATGACACAACAGTCCGCCCCTATATGACACAGCCATCCGTCTCTATATGACACAGCCATCCGTCCCTATATGACACAACAGTCCGCCCCTAAATGACACAACAGTCCGCCCCTAAATGACACAACAGTCCGCCCCTATATGACACAACAGTCCGCCCCTATATGACACAACAGTCCGCCCCTATATGACCCAGCAGTCCGCCCCTGTATGACACAGTAGTCCGCCCTATATGACACAACAGTCAGCCCCTATATGACACAGCCATCCGTCTCTATATGCCACAGCCATCCGCCTCTATATGACACAGCCATCCGCCCCTATATGACACAGCCATCCGCACCTATATGACACAGCCATCCGCCCCTATATAACACAACAGTCCACCCCTATATGCCACAGCCATCCGCCCCTATATGACACTGCCATCCGCCCCTACTTGACACAGAAGTCCGCCCCAATATGACACAACAGTCCGCCCATATATAACACAGTAGTCCGCCCTATATAACACAGCCATCCGTCTCTATATGACACAACAGTCCGCCCCTGTATGTGACAACAGTCCGCCCATATATGACACAGTAGTCCGCCCCTATATGACACAACAGTCCGCCCCTATATGACACAGTAGTCCGCCCTATATGACACAACAGTCCGACCCTATATGACACAGTAGTCCGCCCTATGTGACACAACAGTCCGCCCATATATGACACAGTAGTCCACACCTATATGACACAACAGTCCGCCCCTATATGACACAGTAGTCCGCCCTATGTGACACAACAGTCCGCCCCTATATGACACAACAGTCCGCCCATATATAACACAGTAGTCCGCCCTATATAACACAGCAGTCCACACCTATATGACACAACAGTCCGCCCCTATATGACACAGGAGTCCGCCCTATGTGACACAAGAGTCCGCCCATATATGACACAGTAGTCCGCCCTATATGACACAACAGTCCGCCCCTATATGACACAACAGTCCGCCCATATATAACACAGTGGTCCGCCCTATATAACACAGCAGTCCACACCTATATGACACAACAGTCCGCCCCTATATGACACAGCCACCCGCCCCAAAAGGACACAACAGTCCGCCCCTATATGATACAACAGTCCGCCCTATATGACACAACAGTCCGCCCCTATATGACACAACAGTCCACACCTATATGACACAACAGTCCGCCCTATATAACACAGAAGTCCACACCTATATAACACAGAAGTCCACACCTATATAACACAGAAGTCCACACCTATATGACACAACAGTCCGCCCATATATGACACAGTAGTCCGCCCTATATAACACAGAAGTCCACACCTATATGACACAACAGTCCGCCCCTATATGACACAGGAGTCCGCCCTATGTGACAAAAGAGTCCGCCTATATATGACACAGTAGTCCGCCCTATATGACACAACAGTCCACACCTATATGACACAACAGCCCACACCTATATGACACAACAGTCCGCCCTATATAACACAGAAGTCCACACCTATATGACACAACAGCCCGCCCTATATGACACAACAGTCCACACCTATGTGACACAACAGTCCGCCCCAATATGACACAACAGTCCGCCCATACATAACACAGTAGTCCGCCCTATATAACACAGCCATCCGTCTCTATATGACACAACAGTCCGCCCCTGTATGTGACAACAGTCCGCCCATATATGACACAGTAGTCCACACCTATATGACACAACAGTCCGCCCATATATGACACAGTAGTCCACACCTATATGACACAACAGTCCGCCCTATATAACACAGAAGTCCACACCTATATGACACAACAGTCCGCCCATATATGACACAACAGTCCACACCTATATGACACAACAGTCCACACCTATATGACACAACAGTCCGCCCTATATAACACAGAAGTCCACACCTATATAACACAACAGTCCGCCCATATATGACACAACAGTCCACACCTATATGACACAACAGTCCACACCTATATGACACAACAGTCCGCCCTATATAACACAGAAGTCCACACCTATATAACACAGAAGTCCACACCTATATGACACAACAGTCCGCCCATATATGACACAGTAGTCCGCCCTATATAACACAGAAGTCCACACCTATATGACACAACAGTCCGCCCTATATAACACAGAAGTCCGCCCTATATAACACAGAAGTCCACACGTATATGACACAACAGTCCGCCCATATATAACACAGCAGTCCACACCTATATGACACAACAGTCCGCCCCTATATGACACAACAGTCCGCCCATATATGACACAACAGTCCGCCCATATATGACACAGTAGTCCGCCCATATATGACACAACAGTCCGCCCATATATGACACAGTAGTCCGCCCTATATAACACAGAAGTCCACACCTATATGACACAACAGTCCGCCCTATATAACACAGAAGTCCACACCTATATGACACAACAGTCCGCCCTATATGACACAACAGTCCACACCTATATGACACAACAGTCCGCCCATATATGACACAGTAGTCCGCCCTATATAACACAGAAGTCCACACCTATATGACACAACAGTCCGCCCATATATGACACAACAGTCCACACCTATATGACACAACAGTCCACACCTATATGACACAACAGTCCGCCCTATATAACACAGAAGTCCACACCTATATAACACAGAAGTCCACACCTATATGACACAACAGTCCGCCCATATATGACACAACAGTCCACACCTATATGACACAACAGTCCACACCTATATGACACAACAGTCCGCCCTATATAACACAGAAGTCCACACCTATATGACACAACAGTCCGCCCCTATATGACAGACAGTCTGAAATGTCCCTCCAGCGTACATCTTGATACACCTCAGGTCGTCTTTTGGTATGATGCGGCCAGGGTGAGTGAGTGAGTTGGGATTAACGTCGCTTTAAACAGTATTCCAGTTATATCACGGCGTGTCAGCTTAATGTGGGAGGAAAGCCCCAAGTGATGCAGGTCTTAGAAGTTTACCACTTCGGTGAAACCCACGAGCACGGGTATGGTACTGACAAATCTAGAAACATAATCGGGGCGAACCGGGATTCGAACCCATCATAGGTTTCTGGCGCTCCCAAGGGACGCAACTCTGCACAGCAAATCGCGGCGCCTCAGACGAGGAAAAAAAAAGAAAGAGAACCCTGATATCGTTTAGTAAACATAGTTCTCCCGTCTCGCAACAATGAGCTCTATAGGGAACACGTAGGTGTATATTGGACAAGTTACACACATCCACTGTCAACGGATTATTTCAACATATAAAACCTGTACGGCTAAAGCACAACTTTTCAGGTCACGTGGGAAGCCGACATGTTATTTCTGACGTGATCAATAATCGATCAATAATTCATAAAGTTGTAGGCCATGAATGGTGACAATGGCCACGAGCAGGCCGGGCCACTGTATGAAAAGGTAGAGATAGTTGTTGCGCAAATAGAACACGATCGGAATCCCGGAAGTGAGTCTCCCCACCGCTATCTAAAAATAGAATGAGTATATAAAACCTTGATTTGTTGCTGATCGATCATACCGCCGCAGAGGTCGCGGTGTAGGAACGTCAAAGCACAAGTCAGCATAGGTGTCTGAAGAAAACAAAAATCTTGTGTGTATTTTGGCTTTTAGAATGTCGAGATTTGTGTTGTGTATTTCTGGACAAATAATGTAAATATTTACTTTGGCAACTAGGCCAGGCCAGACCTCATTAACGTGGACACTGTACACGACCGGTGCGAGTGAACTTGTGTGCCCGCATTCCGATGTCCTTCTTGACATTTGGGAGAAAATACGCAAATATATAACTGACAAGAAAAAGGGACTAATGATTTGCATGCGGCTATCGATGAGGTGTACATTAACAATACAATGGCTTTGCATCTGAACGCAACGCATCTGAACGCAACTGATCACAATGAAAATTCACATCGTCCATGAATAGCACGTGGTGCACGTGCACACAGAAGCGAAAGCGTGTGCGCCTGAAGGAGAACTCACCAGCACAATTGCAACTGAGCTAAGCACACGCTTAAAGTGAGTGAGTGAGTGAGTTGGGTTTAACGCCGCTTTTAACAGTATTCCAGTTATATCGCGGCGTGTCAGCCTAATGTGGGAGGAAAGCCCGAAGTGATGCAGGTCTCAGACGTCTACCACTTCGGTGAAACCCACGAGCACGGGTATGGTGCTGACAAACCTAGACACATAATTGGGGCGAACCGGGATTCGAACCCACAATCATAGGTTTCTGGCGTGGCCAAGGGGCACACGCTTAAAGATGGCTCCGAGACATGACACATTGTGGGAAAGATATCCCAAGTTACC